ACTTCACAACTCCTTCCTTGGTGCATTGCAAGAGTTGTTAGATTTCCCCATGGACGTCAAAGTGCGAGACCAAAAAGGGGCCTATTTATCTGTCAATCCTACCCATGAAGGCTTGGAGGTGCTTAATGCCACAACCACTGAAGAAATTCAGAAGTTCACTTGTCATTTTTGGCCTAATGGAAACGATCATTTTTGGTATGATTTTGTACACATTTTTTACATATCAACAACTCTCGTCTTTAAGATTTAAACTCAAGACGTTATTTACATTTTTTCAATAGTTGTATAGTTTGTGGACCAAAATATAGTTATATAGCTAATAGTCTATAGCGTTCCCTAGCCTACCGGCTATGGCTTTTATTACATACCTTAGGACTTTAAATCAACGGTTCTGGTTAAAACATTAGAATCAAATCTTTTTTTCTTTTTTTTTTTTCGGCAAAGAAGCAAATCTATTTATTCTCCATCCTTGATATCAAATGTTTAACATACTGACTTCATTTAGCAAATCTATTTATTCTCCATCATCAGATGATCAAGAAAACATCAGTGGATGTATATTAATTAATGTTTAACATACTGACTTCATTTGTAACTTGCACATTTGGAAAATGTTCTTTATTGACCAGTGAGGGTGCACTTGTGTATGCAAAAGTGATGGAAGAACTACATCAAGTTGTGACAAGAATGGTATTTGAAAACTACGGTGTCGAGAAGTACCATGATGATCACGTTCAATCAGCTTCTTACAATCTCCGATTCAATAAATACAAAAACCCCAAGAAAACTGGAATGGACGTGGGGTTAGCCCCTCATACAGACAATAGCTTTTCCACCGTACTCCATCAAAATCAGGTCTATGGTCTGGAGATATATACAAGGGATGGTGATGGATAGTTTTTGATCCTCCGCCGTCATCCCTTATATACCTAGCAGGAGATGTGTTTCAGGTACGTACATCGATCTCAAAATATGAACCTCTTCATATATAATTCTATAATTTCACAGATATTTTGATTCAAATTTCTCGAAATAGGTTTGGAGCAACAACAGAATACGACCTTGTAGACATAGAGTCACGTTGACGGAAGATGAGGTAAGATTCTCAATAGCTCAATTCACAGTAATGAAAGAGGTGGTGAGCATACCAAACGAACTTGTGGACGAGGATCACCCACGACGGTACAAACCACTGAATCTTTTAGAATTTCTCAAAGAAGTAAAATACACTGGCAGTAAGACTGACCTTACAGTCCAGGAATACTGTCGCATTTGAGTTTCTTTGGTCCAAGGCTCCAAGCTGGTTCCTCTTTTGCCTTTTATTTTGTCTTGTCATGTATTTTCTTTTCTTTTATCTGTTTCTTCCTTTTACAGTTGAATAAGATGTTTTCTCTCAAGAGATTTGTACCCCAATTAGTTATTGCCCTGTACACTTAAGGTCCTGAACAACTACTCCCACACTGTCGCTTGTATTAAAGGAAAAAGAGAGAAGATGTTTTCTCAATAAATATTCTCGCATTTGAAATGACCCAGCACATCTCGACTTTTCTTAGTATTGGCCACGGATTGAACAGTGGCAATTTTCCAATCTTCTAGTAGTGACCTGGTGCTTCACCATATAAATCATTCATGAACCCACAAGGATTGTCAAAATTCTAATGGCCATTGTCAAATTCTTCAGCATAAATTAAAGGAAACTTAACGGAGTAGATCAAGATTTTATACACTGGCCACCAAAAGACTGCATACATGCTCCTTTGATAACAGAATCCTTAACATCTTCACCCAAGCGCCATCGTTTGCACTGTATCATCAATAAAAGTGATGTTATTTCACTGATAGCTAAGTCTTTCTGAAACTTAGGATTAGATTTCATGTCGATAAATTCAACCTGACAAGTCTTTGAACCCTTTTCAAACTTCGAAAGTCTCTTGTTTACCTACTCTATTCGGTGATTCCACTTGTAGCCAGAACATTCTGTATCTCTACCATTTCCTTTAATACCAAAACCTTACAACTATTTGATTTATTTCATTTTCAAATCTGTCCAGCTTTGAAGGGATTTTGTATTCTATTCCTTCCCCTTTTACCAGTCACTTTATTTTTCCCTCCTACAATCCGCTCTTCGAAATATTATGATAATGTATAATGTACAGAACATGTTGTACTTAACTCAAAATAGGAGATAAAAAAGACAGATGTTTGACTTTGGAAATTCCTGCAAAAAACGTAGTTGTTCGTACTCTCAGTGTTGGTGTCAAAACTCGAACAAAGTTTGGACTGGGTTCAACATGTATTTGATACAAGTGTTGCTTCGCGGTGCCATGGTATGGTTCAAGGGAAAGAGAGCATAGACATACCACTATTGGAAGCTATTAGAAAACAATGTTTGTGAGGTTGTGTGTAAATTTGACTTCACTACCAGAAATTAAAGCTTGCCCTATAAAGTTTTACCCGACTAACCAAATTTCGTCAAGTAAAGGGACTTTACCTGAGGGATTTTTTAGTTGGTAGGGCAAAACTGGTCAACATTTAGGGTTTACTCAAAACCTTTACACGGCAGAAGTTAATTGCAGGGTAAAGTACAATTCTTCGGGCAAAATTTTGGCGCCAAGAGGGAAAAAAAATGGTGCACAATATTTGATGGTTTGCTCGACAATTCTGGTGTTTGTCAGCTAGGTTGACTTTGCCTGACAACATTGTTTGTCACCTAAGTGTTACTGTGTGGATGGGTAAAGGCCCACAATGACGTGTAAACATATCCACCGACAAAACCTTTACTCGATGTTTTTCTTGTACTTGAAGGAATGGTTCGTTGGTCAAACCCCTATTCATCAATTATAAGTATGTGCTTTCCTTTTCCTCTTTCTCCTCTGCACCTTCCTCTTCCTCTTTCTCCCCTGTGCCTTCCTCTTCCTCTTTCTCCCCTGTGCCTTGCTCTTCCTCTTCCTCTTCCTTTCTCTCCCCTCTTCTTCTTGGCTTCAATACGCCCATTTTCCCACTACCCAAACCCAACCATTTCACCACTTTACACAAGGTCCCCAAGTACCTCATGAAAAACAACAGCAGTAAAGCCATGGCTATGGTGGCCTAAGTCCACAACTAGAAGAGGACAGTGCCTAGGCCCACATGGGTAGTTAGAGGAGCGAGGTGCACCCTCAGTTATGGAGGTCTAGAGAGTAGTATTAGTGGTACAAATCAAAGTAGTGAGTACGAGAAAAGGAAGGAGTCGAAGCCAAGTCTGGGGGTTTGCAATAACTATAAAGCCTCATTAACAGCTTGGATTGTACTGACTATATCAGTCAGATATAATAAATAGTCATCGGATAATATTGACTATATTAGTCTGGCGTTTGGTTTTATATTGGATTAATCTGTTCATTAGATAATATTATCAGATTACAATAATTTTCTAGAAAATTTAAAAAGTTATTGATGTTAAAATGGAAAAAGGGAGAAAATCAAAGAAACAAAAAAGAAAAACGAAAAGGGTTTTTTATCACAAATGGTTCCTGAGATTGATCAAACTCATCATTTTAGTTCCTCACTTTCAAAATCAATCAATGTCATCCCTGACATTCACTACTGCACATCAATTTGGTCATTCCGTTAAGATTCCGTCAACTATTCTGTTAGTTTGTATGTGGGACCCACAAATCCAATGAAATGGTGACACGTGGATTACACAAAATAAGGCTTTTTATTGCAAATGGTCCTTGACTTTGATCTAACTCCTTATTTTGGTCTCTGAGTTTCAAAAATCGATAAATTTGGTCTCTGACTTTCAATACTGCACATCAATTTAATCATACCGTTAAAGTTTCGTCAATATTTTTTGTCCCATTAATCATATGGTGCCACATGGATTAACTATAAGGAAAAGGAAGGCACCATGACACCACTAAAGTACCTGGTATCCTGAACTCACTCCTCATTCTCTCTAGTTGGTTATAATCCTAAATCTTATCAAATTTGGATTTGATTTTATCGAATTTAGGTTGAATTTTTTTTCCAATTGAGGTTGTGGGATGTGAGAAAAATGCCAGCGCAGAATACTCTTCTTTTGGTTCACTCTTAAAAAAAATAGTTTCTTATAGTTAATCCACGTTGAGCCATATAATTGGATTAGTGAGACCACATTAACGAAGGGAATAAATTGATGTACGGTAGTGAAAGTCAAGAACCAAATTTATTGATTTTTGAAACTTAGGGACCATTTGCGATAAAGTCAATAACAAGACTTGCCTCTGTCAAAAAAAAAAAAAGAAAAAGAAAAAGAAAAAAAAAAGAAAGAATAGACAGTAGAAATCTTGAGAGAGTTGGAGAGAAATCAAAGAAAGAGCGAAGTGTTGTGGGAACTCAACGAGACGAAGGCAAACATAGAAGAGGATACACGGCAAGGGAAAGCAACAAAGCATTTAAAGGTGTAAATCCATCCTTTTAATCTTCCTTTGTTTGGTTTCTCTCGGCTTTGTAGGAGAAAAAGAAGCACCTTGGATGTTCAACCTCTCCCATTCCCCGAAGCAAAAATGGAGGTGGGGACTCTAAAGAAGCAAGCCCAAATCCTTTCCCAATCTCTCACCCTCCTCCGGTGTGGAAAAATGAAGAAAGTTTATTTTTCATTATGTGAAGAATGAGATTACAAGACAAGTCTTTTAAGTAGCAATAACTAAGGGAACAACATCCCTTAAATTAAGAAGATATACACTACAAAGTCAATAAGAAAGACTTAGGGGTTGCGGGCTATTGAAGGTGAAAGAAAAGACTTGTACTGTTGCTATGCTAGTCAAGCATATGCAAAAACCATGAGAGAAAAAGTTTACAACCTTTACAATGTTTACAACCAGCTGTCTCCCAATGCTCCTCCTCAAGCTAGATCAAGAGGATTAACAGAGCCAAGCTTGCCAAGTAAGTGCTAAAATTGAATGGAGGCTAAGGCTTTGGTAAAAGCATCGGCCAGTTGGTCTTCACTGAGTGTAAATGGTATGAATCACTTTGGACTAAACCTGTGCACGTATGTAGTGACAATCAGCCTCGATATGTTTGGTTTGCTCATGAAACACTAGGTTATAAGCAATGTACATTGCTGCTTGATTATCACGCGTCAGAGACATGGGTGTATAGTAAGAGAACCCTAGGTTCTGACGAAGGCTTTTTATCCATATTAATTCACAATCAGTTGAAGCCATAGCCCTGTATTTAGATTCAGCGTTGGAGTGAGCAATAACAGGTTGCTTCTTGCTCTTCCAAGTGACCAAATTGTCCCCTACAAAGGTGCAATAACTAATAGTGGACTTGCGATCAAGGGTATTCCCTGCCCAGTCAGCATTAGTGAATCCCAGGATCTTGGTTGAGTTGTGATTTTGCATGAAAATGCCATGGCCAATAGAACCCTTGAGATATCGTAGAATCCTCTTAGCAACATGGAGGTGATCAGTTGTGGGAGCATGCATAAATTGACTCACTAGATTGACAACAAATGTGATGTCAGGTCTAGTTATAGTTAGATAAACGAGCTTGCCTACTAACCTTTGGTAGTAACTAACATTGTGAAGAGGTTCTCCTTCCATACTCACTTTCCATTTGCAATCAAGTAGGGTGCTAGCAAGTTTACAATCCAAGAGGTCCGCTTCTTTGAGTAAGTCCATGACATATTTGCATTGGTTGAGGGAGGGACCTTTGTGTGAGGTGGCCATTTCAATACCTAGAAAGTATTTCAAGAGTCCAAGGTCTTTGATGGCAAACTTACAAAGGAGTGCAGCTTGAGAGAGTTGATTTTATCTATATTATCTCAAGTTATGATCAACATAGATGAGAACAACTAACTTGCCAATTGAACCTATACGAACAAACAAGGATGAGTTAGCATTGCTCCTAGTGAAACCCACTTCTTTAAGCACTGAACTCAACTTGGCGTACCAAGCTCATGGAGATTGCTTCAAGCCATAGATGGCTTTGTGGAGTTTACAAATCATGTTAGTATTGGGGGCTTGTGGATGGCTAGGCAGGTAACCTTATGTACAATTTTTCTTCAAGTTCTCCATTCAAGAAAGTATTTTTAACATCCATATGGAACAATGACCATCCATGATGAATAGCAAAGGATAGGAGCATCCTCATTATGTTCATCTTAGCAACTGGTGTAAATGTTTCCTTCTAATCAACTCTAAAAGTTTGAGTGAAATGTCTTTCAATTGATCCCTTTGAATGGAACTTGGTCTTGTAAATCCACCTACTGCATACTGTTTTTTTTCTCGGAGAGAGTTTGACAATACTCCATGTACAGTTGTCATCCAAGGCTGGCAAGTTGCCATTCATTGTGCAGATTGGCTTCTTGCAAGGAGCTTGGTTCATGGTGACTTGAGATGACACTGAGGAAAACTGCATGACTAGAAGACAATTTGGAATAAGATACAAAATCAATGAGTGGATACCTTGCAACATAGGTTACATAGTCTAATAACTTGGTTGGTGGATGATGATCTTAAGTTGGATTCCTTCTCGTATGAGGTTGAGTTGAAATGGATGGGGTGGCCTCAAAAGGAAGCAATTCCACATGAGAATGAGATGACATCTTTGCAGGTTCACCAGCTATGAATGGTGTCATTGATTCATGCCCAGATTGATCTCAAACACTTCTTGTAGGTGTGAAGTTTTCTCTATGTTTAATTGGAATAGGCAGTGGGAAAAAATCAAACCAATGCTCCCCCTCACTTGAACGGTCTAATAACTTGTTGATGTAGGGAGCATTTTCCTCAAACTTGACATCTCTGGATACAATAACCTTGTTAGTATTAGGGTTAAAACATTTGTACCCTATTTGAGTGGAAGAATATCCCATAAAAACACATTTGATAGCCTTGGGGTCCAATTTGCCATGATTGGGGAAGGGGGGGTTGGGACATGAACAAAACAAAGGCATCCAAACACTTTTAAAAGTGATAAATCAATGATTTTTCCCTTAAGAACCTCATAGGGTGATTTAATCCTTAAAACTCAACTTGGTAGCCTGTTGATAAGATAGGCAGCAACAAGCACACCTTGTGACCAAAATTTCTTGGAAACATGCATGTGGAGCATGATCACCGGTACATGGGATGGTACACCACGTGTTACTATACAAATAGTAGAATATGTGTGCTAAAAAGTTAATAACTTAAAAAATAAAACTTCTCACCATTTCTATTAAAACACGTGGTGTACCACTTGTGTTCCGGTTACAAAAAAAAAAAAAAAACAGACAGCCAGGAAGCAACATGTACCAATCAACTGATGCACCTCAAGAAGAAAGAACATGCTCTCTCCGCAAATTCTAGTTGTTGGTGTCCTTTTTCTTGCTCACGAGTACAAGACATGGAGGCCAGCTCTTTATATAAGAATTCCACCAAAAGCCTTTTCTGCTAGGAATTCGAATGAGAAGATAAAAATTGAGATTCAAAAGTCTGCAAAAGAAAACTATAGAGAATAAAAGAAGCTGTCTTCTCAAGTTGCTGGAGGATGAGAAAATTTTTATTGTGATCAGAATACGGGTGATACATCACGTGTTTTTGTATAAGTGGTGGGAAATTTTCTTTTTTAAATTATTAACTTTTTAACATACATATTCTACTATTTGTAGAATGACACGTAATGTACCATTTCGTATTTTGATCACACTAAAAAATCTCTCCTGAAGGATTGACACAAAGACAAAGAAAAGATAAGCCTTTTCGCAAAGTCTGGAGAACCATGCTCGTTAGGGGTGGGCAAACGGCAGGTCCGGGCGGGTAATCATGGTTCGGGGCAGGTCCGGGCGGGTAATCATGGTTCGGGGCAGGTACGGGCCAATTCTTAATATTTTAGAGAACAAACAGGGCGGGCCGGGCCGGATCCTTTTCATTTACGGGGCGGGATAAAAACGGGTACCCGGACTAACCTGTTTCTAATTATAATGAAGGGCTGAGATTGAATGATAACCTATCATATCATTCAATCTCAACCGTTAGTTTCTACCCTAGGTTCTACAGGAGTCCAAGCCAAGGTTCCAAAATCACAGCTGCTTCTTTATTCCTCCCTCTCGCTCCATCTCTTTCCCTCTCCTCCATCTCTCATGCATCAGTGCAATCAACCTTTACTGATCGTTGTTGCAGCCACTTTGTAGTGGTTAGCTGATCTTATCTTTGATTTGTAGTGGGTTTTCTTGTTTTAGTCAATTTTGATGATTTTAGTTTCTTTTTTGAATAATATTTTGGATTTAGAATAATAATTTAGGGTGCTTAGATGAAATAGTTTTGGATTTGAAATCCTAAGATCTGATCAGCCTTTTGGTTTATGTATTCAATTTTGGGGTTATTGTATGTTTTTTTTTTTTGGGTGAATTAATTGCTTTCTGAAATTAGATGAGGATTAATTAACCATAGTTTTGAAAGCATAAGGAGTTTAGTTACTTTAGTACTTGTTTCTTTCGTGGTCGATTTTATGATCTTTGATTTTTCAGAGGTGTAGGGGTGTTCTAATGTGTTAATGAAATTATGTTCAAGTGGGTAGTTTAAATGCTAGAGACCATCGACGTAGTTCATCTCTTTTAGCATGATTTATTTTGGTTTGCATGACTTGTCAAAGTTGTATTTATATGTGAACGTATTACACATACTAGCACTCTTTTGAGTATATTTGTATTGTTGATATTCAGCCGTTCACCCCCACCGCGGGAAAGGTCTCATTCCTGAGAACCAGCAGGAATATGCAGCAGCCTCTTTGAAGCTTAAGTTATGGAAACATGCTCAATAAATCTGTTAGTATTGGAATTCAATGCCATTGGGTTGGCTTGCTTATGTAGTTCTGTGGTATGTCATATATTTTTGGTGAGATTTGAGATGGATTAAATTGTTCATTGGTTTTCATTGTGTTGATTGGTTGAATATGAATTAGGATTTTAGATGTAAGTACGAGTAGGAATATAATCATAATATCTTGATATCTTGAACTCTTGAATATATAAAATTTACGTTGTTACCATTGTAATATATTGAACTCTTGATATCTTGAATATAGAAATGATAATGTGGTGGGTCTGATTCTTGATATATAGATAGAAATGATTCTATGCTTACTGTTCTATTTAATTAATCCGTTCAAGGATATAGGAATAGGCTAGGTGATCTCTGTGGTCAATCTGTGCAATCTGTGTTCAATCTGTGCAATCTGTGTTCAATCTATGCAATCTGTGCAACTACATAGAAATGATGTGCAATATGTGCAATTGCTGTGCAATTGTCTTGCACTCTTGGAATGCAGTGATGTTGGACGTTTAATGTTATTGCAGATGTTAATGTGGATGTTATTCCGGTTTTAATGTTTATGGTTTTTTTGGATTTGGAATAGCAAGCAGAAGCTTGAGGCTTGAGGCAGCTCTTGTAATTTTTGAAAACATCTGTGTTGCTACAATGCTGCTGTGCACTGCAGTGCAATTTTATAAAAACGCATTTTTGAAAAAAAGAAAAAACAAAATAGAGTTAGACTCGTGGACCTGCCATGGACCGGCTCGTTTGAAACGGTCCGAGTTAGGTCCGGTTCCAAAATTCAAAATCTCTCTACCCGGCCCGGCTCGCCCCGTTACAGTTTATAACGGGTAGGGCCAGGTTCCTCCAAATTTGGCCAGGCCTGGCCCGTGCACACCTATAATGCTCGTGGTAGCTAAAGTTAAATTAAAAACATGAAGCTACAAGTTAAAAGCAAAAGGAAAAAATTGAGTTTAAAACTCAATGGAAAGGAGCTGCGACCAAAAATTTGCTTTTGTAATGTAAGAAGTAAATTAAAAGCAATGTGGCTTGCTTTTCTTGACGCCACGTGAGTCCTGCTTGGACCTGGAAATCCAAGTCTACACTACACAGAGAAGAAACAAAAAGCCTGCAAAGTTCTTAATTAATTGGGAATTGCAGCTGCCCATGTGGCAACCTAGGGAAAGCTACGGGCTCTATGAATTTTGGACCTTAAATATAACTTGGGCCAAAATAAATGGGCAAAGCCCAACGGTGAATGGATTCCATCTGCATCCATTTTGTGGGATCCTAGGGATCTTCACATTTTAGTCATTCATCGTGTATCGTGCAGTCAGAAATCAGTTGACTTTTTTTTTTATTTAAAATTAAACACAAATAGTATCTGATGAAAACTGACAACACGATGTAAGATGAACGGTTAGGATGTGAGGGTCCCCACAAAGTGGATCCGGAGAGGATCCTTTTCCCCCAACAGCATCATGGAGACAGTTTTGAACCACTTCAAACTCCGTAGATGTGAAACATCCAAAAGCACAAAGCTCGATGGACTAACACTACGTTAAAAAAATTAGTCAAATTCTCGAAGTGGTCAAATGGCACAAAGTCGCATCAATTTCCAAATGGCATGAAGCCACTTCAAAATTCAAATAGCACAAAGTCGCATCAATTTTTAAATGGCACGAAGCCATATCAAATATCAAATGACACAAAGCTTGCATTAAATTTCAAATGCTCATTACCTGCACAAGCTGAAACTGCATAAAGTACAAAAACCAAACAAATACCAATTCAATGAACTACGTCGTTTTGGTTCCATTAAGGATACGTAGGCAGTCTAGTAGCATATTCTAGATGCAACTGCAAAGCCCAAACACAAAATCGAATCCTTAGTTTATTCAATTAAATTCACCCAAATAAACCAGAACACCAAATCCTTTTAGTGGGTCATTCATGCACTAAAAACCCAAACCAAATCAAAAGAACTGTGAGCGACTTGATCTCTCAAAGGGGTACATAGGCAATCTAGGGCTCGACTTAGGTGCAGTTGCAAAATCAAATAAACACATAAATCCTCAAATTTCTTTTTTTTCATGTTAGAATAAAAGGGTTTTCCTTTCCCAAAAGAAGGGTCGTAATTGATAGATGTGTGTGACATTGACTAGGTAGTTTATAATGGAATCTTGCCAGTTTGTAGTTGTACTAACCTGTGACACCTCGGCTGTTGGCTCCACTTCTATGCTTGGTTGGTCTAGATACTCCACCGGAATAAAGCGTTTGAGTTGGTGGTCGAGGGCGGAGCCTAAGCCGGCTAGCAAGTCCGTGTAGGTGTTGTCTGCCCACGGAACTTGTGTGAGAGTGTAAGTTTGAAACGCCTCAAGTTACTTTCATACCTTCTTTAGGTATTGTACTGTCTTTGGATATTTTGACGTGTACTTCCCTATAGTTTGGCTGGTGATTAGTTGGGAATCAGAATGAATTGCAAGCTTTTCATCGCTAAGTCTTTTTCCATTTGGAGGCTTGTTAGCAAGGCTTCGTACTTTGCTTCATTATTGGATGCTTTGAACCTTAGAGTGATTGCCCTATCGAGCATCGAACCGTCTAGGCTGACAAGGACCACGCCTGCTCCGAAGCCCTTGTAGTTAGATGTACCGTTGATATGCAAATGCCAGAAGCCTCTATCAGGTGAAGCAGGTATGGTTAGGGCATGCTCGGTTGCCTCTGGGGCGTCATTGGGTAGCTTTGTTACGTCGCCTAGGCTAGGCGTGAATTCTATTATAAAGTCCGCCAAGGCTTGGGCCTTTATCACCATGCGGAATCGGTAAACTAAGTTGTATTGGCCAAGTTCCAACACTCATTTATCACTCGTTGAGAAGCGTCTAGACTATATGGGATTGATCGTAGAGGATAGTGAGTTATGATGATGACTGTGTGAGCTTGAAAATATGGTATGAGCTTTTGAGTTGCAACAACTACTTGCCAAAATTAATTTCTCGATCTTTGGATATCTGGTTTCCGTATCAAGAAGAGCTTTAGAAGTGTAGAATACTAGCAGTTGGACCCCCAGCTATTCTCGTATGAGGGCAGAGCTCACTACTATTTCAAAGACTGCTCAGTAGATGTATAAGTCCTTTGCTGCTTCCAGTTTGGATAGTAAGGGAGGTGATGTGAGATACTTCTTCAGGTCTTGGAAAGCTTTTCATATTCATCATCCCATTTGTCTCATTGTGCCTTCCTAAGTGCTTTGAAAAAAGTCTTCATCGATCGATTGAGCATGCTACTCATCCGATCAAGCTCTAGATCTCTTTTAAGGAAGTTTGAGACTTCATCTCTAGGATTGCTCAAATCTTCTTGGGATGTTCTTCAATTCCTCGTTGGGTTACTAGGTACCCTAAGAATATGCCTGAAGATACTCCAAATGTGCATTTAGTGGGATTGAGCTTCATCTTGTACTTTCTAAGAATGTCGAAAGTTTTCACCAAGTTGTCGATATAAACTAATCGCTGTTTTCCCTTCACTATAGTGTCATCGACGTAGACCTTCATGGTTACTCCAATTTGCTTCTTGAACATCATGTTTACTGATCGTTGGTAAGTGGTTCCCGCATTCTTGAGGCTAAAAGGCATGACCTTGTAGTTGTAGATGCCTTGCTCGATCATGAATATGGTTTTCTCCTTGTTGGGCTCGTGCATGGCTATTTATTTGTAGCCGGAGTTTACGTCCAAGAAACCGAGCAGCTAGTTCTTGGAAGTTGAATCTACTAGTAGATCGATTCGGGGAACTGGATAAGGATCATTTGGGCATGCTTTGTTGAGGTCAGTGTAGTCTACGCAAACCCTCTATTTGCTCTTCTCTTTCTTCATTACTAGCATGACGTTGGCAAGCCATGCTGAGTCTCCTAACTTTTCAATAAATCCAGCCTTTAATAGCTTGTCGATTTCAGCTTCTATGATCGCCACTCATTTGGGTGCGAAATGTCTCTTCTTTTGGATCACCGGTTTGGCAGTGGGGTTAACGTGCAGCTTGTGGCAAGCTATCTTGGAGTCGATGCCAGGCATGTTAGAAGGTGACCATGCGAAGACGTCACGATTTTCCCTAAGGGTTCCTCCTTTTCCTTCGGGCTCAGATATGAGCTGATTTTAACAGTCTTCTCTGGCTGCTGAGGATCAAGAATGATGTGCTTAGCGTCCTCTTTAGGTTTCCATCCCGTCTCGTCTGCTAGCGCGTTGATTTAGACACCATCTTCTTGATCCGTCTGCTGTAATTGCTATTTGGTAGCTTTGTCGTCTCTTTGGACCTCGATAGCCTCTACGGGGGTCAAGGTCTTCTTTTTTTACTCCTTCAGTACTTACACAGTGCATCGTCGAGATGTGGCCTGGTTAAACTTGATTTCTCTAACTCCTCATCTTGGGATGTTAAATTGAATTTTTTGATACTTGACGGAGGTTACAATGTCTAGTGTTATCAGCCAATCTCGTCCTAGAATCCCATTATAGGGACACGACTCACTTATAATTGTGAACATCTGCTTTGAGACAACAAGCGATGTTCTCACGTCAAGTGTAATGTTGTCGATGACAATCGAGGTGTGTCAGTTGAATATGGTGAGTACCTCTGCTCGGCTTATGATTGTATTTTCAAGCCCATCTTCTGAATTACTGAGAGCTGAAGTAGGTTAACCATACTTCCATTGTCAACCATCATTTTGTTAACTATAGAGTGGGCTAGTTGGACAGATACCACTAATGCGTCGTCATGTGGGAAGTCAACGTCTTCAGCATCCTACTCGGTGAAGCCAACGATGGGCCAGGTTTGGGTGTTGAATGCCTGGACCTGAGAGACTAGTAGAGTTTGCTAGATCTTCATTTTCTTGGAGTTGTTGGTGGCCCTCAAGTGTTCGAATTCGGCGAAGATGTCCTTGATCTGGATTGTCTTGGTTGGCAGTTCTTTGTCGATGTCTACATTCCTTCTAGGCTGTATAGCTGGCTTATCCGAGTATTTATTGACCTTGCCCCCTTTCACCAGCTTATCTAGCTAGTTCTTCCAAGTGTAGCAGTTGTCGGTTGTGTGACCAGGACCTCGATGGAATGCACAATACTTAGTATGGTCCAACTTGGAGGTATCACCATTTGATTACTTCGGTAGCGTTAACCATGGTTCGCTCCTGATGTCGCAGATGATTTGGTGGATCGAGATAAAGAATTTAAAGTAGTTCTTGGGCGTTAGGTCTCCTTTAATTGGGGATC